GTATGCCAGTTGTAGGATTTTAAGAGAATTTTTTGGTTTATGTATATTTTCACAATTGTTGCTCTTGCTTTTTGGTGGAGTTTTACAAATCTGCTTTAAAGGTAAGAGAATGAAAACCTTGGAACTTCTTTTCTGTTCACCTAGTAATAAAAAGCTGGTTATGATCTTTAGTTGAAATGCATCCCCCATGTATTTTGGTATTAAAGAAAATTAGGATATATTTTCTATCAGCTTCTTTGGTATGATAAACATGTAATATCCATAAATACTGCTAGAAGTAGATACGTTGGGAATTATTTGTAGGATGTATATTTTTTTATGCTGTAATATGTCCCTTCATTTGTTTGTGTAAGTTATATTTTTAAGTGTCATCTCTCAGTTTAGCAGACTAATTGGAAAACAAAAACTTGGAGAATGTAAATTTTATATTTTACATTGTATTTCCTGTTGAAGATTATAGCAGCTCATGGCATAATACTTGGAGGCTATGTGTAATTTTTTGAAAATAATCAATACCGAAAGTTTTTGAAAGTAACAAAATAGATGCAGTTGTAGAATGCCTTCATAGACTGAAGATCCTCCCAGGATCATGTTTTAAATCATTAGTCTATAAGGAAACCTTTACATCTGACATATTATTTTAAAATATAGTCTCAATCATCTCTATGTTGTAACAGTAACAGGACTCAAGATCAAAAGATACATATATATATATATATATATATATATATATATANAAGCTGTTTATTGTTTACATGATTATTATTAACTGTTATTGTTACATGTATCTTTCCTTATTTCACTTCTTAATTCTCATTTCTTTATCATGATCATAATGTGTGATGGTTCTGTTTTACTACTCTTTTTTATCTTTCTTTCTTTTATTCTTTCTTAAACTTAATATTTCATGTCACTATAGTGATGAGATACTCCGGTATGTAGTGCTGAAGAAAGTGACATCAGTTGGTGATGAAAAAGGCCGGTTCTCACTTTACCTGTCATCAATGCTCATGTATGGAACTGTCATGCTATACAGGCGACAAGTACGCTTCTTACTAGGTATGTTGATCAGTCTGCAATAGTTTTACTTGATAAGCTGTTGACAAGGAACACTTTGCAGTAAAGTAGGCAATGATGGTAAAATCCACTGTCTCAAGACTTTCCCAGATTTTCTCAATATCTGAAATTATCTTTATAATCTTGCAGATGAAGTCATGGGGACATATCAGAAGTTGCAACATCAAAGGGCATTGCTTTTAGATCTTGATACTAGCTCTGGAGGGTGAGTAAGTTTTAGATAAGTCTTATAACACCATTCGGTTCTATTGGAATAATGCTAGTAGGTGCTCTTCAGGTTGTATGGTTTTAGTTACGGAAGACTAAGATAACTGTTACTAGGCTGAAGATATGTAAGTCATATGGGACAGAGTGGAAGGTTTAATAATACTGTATGACATTAATAAAAGCAAGAAAAATTAAATGTAAAAATGTGTGATAACCTTTTTTGTAATTGTTAATGAAAAATGAGAAACTAAAACTAAAACTCTAAATTCTAGGGCCGAGAACAAAAAGAGCCAAGGTCGTAGAAGTTCATGTTGAGAGAGTTTGCTCCATGTATCAATATTTAGCAAACAATGATACACATCAAACTATGTTGTATTAATCTAAGCCTTTTTAAGACATATTTATCCTACTTGATATAACAAAAATATATATTAGATAAGGTTTTGACTTTGATACTTTCAAAATAAGCTTTTCAAAGAAGTATATTTTGCTGATTACGTGATAAATTTAGACATTATTGCAGTTGATGTTTAAATAATTGCACATGATTTGGTTTCTAATTTTTTTTCTCCATTTCATAGTTAAAGAATAAAACTGGTTTTGAAAATATAAATATAACTGCAGAATCTATTACCTACATACTGAAAATGCAGAATAGGACCAGTGGCCGGTGTGAAGTTATCAGTTGCTGTGTATTCAAAATTAACCCATTTATGGTGATCGGTTACATGTTCGATTACAAGATTTATCAGAGACTTTTTCTTTCAAATGCTTGTGCGGCATCCCAAATATGCTGATAACATTAGTGTTTATAACAATAATAGAAACAAAACATTTTGTTTAGTAGTAGACTTATCTCACAATTGGGATTTTTTGACCTTGGACCTTCTTGTTCTAGACCTTTGCGAGTCACAATGCGGGAGCCCTCCATGGCAGACTACATGAATGAAGATTGGACCCTTCTGACCCTTCCGTCTTTGCCTAGCTTGGATACTTCTGTCACCACTCCAAGAAGTAAGGATAAGGATTTGAGAATTAGACAGAGGGCAGGGGTTTAATGAGATAAGCAGAGAGAAAATATATTGGAGAAATAAGGAAAGGTAGAGAGGACGAGAACAGAAAAAGAGGTTGTATAATGATTTACTTAAAATAAGATCTTAAGAATATTAGTTTTAGAGTTGCTTCATTTGGAAATTTCACTTTCAAAATTGAGCTT